CATCAGATTGGATGGAGAAAAAAACCTTGGGAGAACCCAGGCTAGTCAGGGGCCAGTTCTCCTCTGGCTAACAATCATAGGGTTTTAAAGAAGCTTTACAGTAAGTGCATATCAGAGAGTACCTGGAAAAAATACATTTAGTTAATCATGTAATATTTAGGGGATAACATATCGCCGGCGTTGAGTCGTCTCTTCACAGGCGTTGGTCTTCTCATCACAGGCGTTGAGGCATCCGAAATCCCCGTGAGAGGCAGGATACCAAACTGGAGCCTACGAACGCCATTTTTCTTGGGACAAGCGTCCCGAGATAACAGCAGAAAGGCAGATGGGAAATAATTAGCATAGCTGATGTTCATAATGATTTCCATTACACGGGAGTAGGTGTTAGAAAACCATAATCTCACAACTCTCCGTAACCCAAACTCTCCGCAACCAACAGCAACCATACGGACCGACCCGTTTGTCTATAAGGCTGTCGAGCCCCACTGGTGCGTTAAGCAGTTTCAGTGGCAAACGGTTCCGTATGGCATAGCAGAGGACTAAAAGGTAAGCATTATGTGAATGCTTGACTAAAGAGACACGTCTTTAGTCTAGTTTTAAACTGTGTCAGCGAGTCAGAGCATCGGACCGTATCGGGAAGGCTATTCCAGAGTTTTGGAGCTAAATGCGAGAATGCCCTCCCTCCTTTCGTGGACTTCGATATCCTAGGAATGACCAGAAGCCTTGAATTTAGTGATCTTAGAGAACGCGGTGGATTGTAGGGCGAAAGAAGGTCCGTTAAGTACATAGGAGCTAAACCATTAAGGGCTTTATAGGTCAGGTTAGGTTATCTTTGAGACATTCTGTCAATTTAGATGAGGTAATGTTTTCATCTGGTCGTGATGAAATATATAATTGAGTGTTGTCAGCATAACAGTGGAAATTAATTCCATGTTTTCTTATAATATTACCAAGTGGCAGCATATATATTGAGAATAGCAGAGGGCCTAGCACCGATCCTTGCGGTACTCCGTAGTCTACTGACGTTAACTTTGATTTTCCCCCGTGTAAAGAGACAAAATGATAACGGTCAGATAAGTACGATCTAAACCAGCTTAATGCCTGTCCCTGAACACCAGTGTAGTTTTGTAGTCGATCCAAGAGTATTTTATGATCTATAGTGTCGAACGCGGCGCTAAGATCAAGTAGGACTAGTATTGAGATACAGCCTTGGTCAGAAGCTAAGAGTAGATCATTTGTAATTTTAACTAGCGCAGTTTCTGTACTATGATGCGGTCTGAATCCTGACTGGAATTTTTCATAGATATCATTTTCTTGCAAAAAAGAGCACAGTTGAGCGGATACAACTTTTTCTAGTATTTTGGACATAAATGGAAGATTTGAAATGGGTCTGTAATTTGCTAGGTTATTTGGATCTAGTTGCGGTTTCTTAATGAGAGGTTTTATTACTGCCAACTTGAATATTCTTGGAACATGACCTAAGAATAAAGACGAGTTAATAATATTAAGAAGAGGCTCTTCCACTACAGGTAACACTTCTTTCAGTAGTTTAGTGGGTATTGGATCTAATGAGCATGTTGTTGGTTTAGATGCAATAATAAGTTTATTTAGCGCTTCCTGTCCTATCGTTGCAAAGCGGTGTAGTTGTTCTTGAGGGACGATAATTGAGGCTGAATCATAAGAGACCATAGAGGATTGTACATTTATAATTGTGTTTCGAATGCTTTCTATTTTCTCATTGAAATAATTCATAAAATCATTACTACTAAACTGTAACGGTATATTTTGCTCTGGTGATGTCTGTTTATTTGTTAGTCTAGCCACGGTGTTAAATAAGAACCTTGGATTATTTTGGTTATTTTCTATTAGTTTGCGGAGGTGCTCAGCCCTGGCTGTTTTTAGAGCCTTTTTATAACGTGACATACTGTCTTTCCACGCGATTCTAAAGACCTCTAAATTAGTTTGTTTCCATTTACGCTCTAGGTTACGAGTTTCTCTCTTGATATCATGCGTAACACTGTTGTACCATGGTGCTTTAGTTTTCTCTTTAACCTTTTTTAATCTAATTGGTGCAACAATATCTAATGTACTAGTGAAAATGGTGCTCAAACTGCTAGTCATTTCCTCTAGTTCATCTGTTTGTTTGGGTTCACTGAGCAGCTGAGATAGATCAGGTAAGCTATTTGAGAATCTATCTATAGTGGTTGGAAGGATTGTTCTGCCTGGTCTATAACGTGGCGCAACATGACATATTTCAGCAGTACGTATTATGCACGTTACCATGTAATGATCAGTGACATCATCACTTTGCGGTATAATATCTATATCAGTTGGATTGGTTCCATATGATATAATTAAATCTAGTGTATGATTTAGACGATGAGTGGGACCACGGACGTTTTGCTTGACCCCAAAGGAGTTTAATAAATCTGTAAACGCAGCCCCTAACGCATCATTTTTGTTGTCTACGTGTATGTTAAAATCTCCAACAATTATTGCTTTATCGACATTGACCAATAGATCCGAGAGAAAGTCTGCAAACTCTTTTAGAAATTCAGCATATGGCCCTGGAGGTCTATATACAGTAGCCAAGGCTAGAGATAATATGGATTTCTTTCTTACATCTAAGAGCGTAACATTTAGCATAAGTGCTTCAAACGAATTAAATCTGTGACCTGTTTTCTGAGAAATATTAAGAATATCTTTATAGATTGTTGCAACACCGCCGCCACGACCAGTCAGACGGGGCTCATGCTTATAACAGTATCTTGGCGGAGTAGACTCATTTAGACCGAAATACTCATTTGGTTTAAGCCAGGTTTCAGTAAGGCAAAGTATATCGAAATTATTATCTGTGACCATTTCATTTACAATAACCGCTTTAGGTGTGAGCGATCTAATGTTTAGAAGACCTAGCTTTAGAAATTATTTTTGTTCACTGATATTTAGATTTTCTGGTTTAATTACAATAAGATTTTTGCTAGATCCTGCACTAGATTTATTGTTTGGCTTCACTAAACGAGGAATAGACACAGTTTCTATATAATGTTCTTCACTACGTATATCAATTAAGTTTGGACAGCAAAGACTGTGATTTGGATTTTGACTTATTAGTCATCTGGTGCGTAACGTCTTGGAGATATTATCCGACAGAACAGCCGCTCCGGCTCTGCTGGGGTGCAGGCCATCAGCACGGTACAGCCTGGGTCGCTCCCAAAACAGATTCCAATTATTTACAAAGAGCAGTTTCTGTTCATTACACAGTGACATTAACCATTCATTTAGTGCAAATAGTCTACTGAACCTTTCTTGTCCTAGTCGGTACGTGGGAAGCGGTCCAGACACGATGATCGTTGCCTCAGGCGCTGTGTTGCGTACCGCCTCGATCAGGCTCATGTAGTCCTTCTTCAGAACCTCCGTCTGCCGCAGCCTGACGTCGCTCCCTCCCGCATGCAGCACCACAGCTCCGACGCGCTCGTCCCCGGTCAGGATTTCGGGAACCTGTGCAGCGATATCAAGAACACGAGCACCAGGAAAGCAGTGAGAGCGCACCTTACCTTTACCTGAGGTAGCACGGACATGGCGGACCATGGACGTGCCGATGATCACGGCGTCGTCGCGTTTCGACTCGCGAAGAGGGGAGAAGCGGTTCCGAGTGGAGATCTCGAAGACCGGGAGGGGCGGAGGAGTAGCTCTGGTCCTGGCTCGCGTCTTCCGCTGCGTGATCCATGGTCCATTGTGTTGTGTCGGTGCCGGAGTAAATGAAGCCCGAGATGATCGCGTCCTTCTGGACAGAGAAACACACGGAGTAGACGAACTCGGAGTTAAAGAGTTACTAACCACTAACTTGTGAGCATCGGCGCGTGCTGCTTCAAGTGCTGATCGCCGATCCAACAGCTCGGCTTGCTTTTCCAGCAGACCACGGATCTGTTTCTCCACGGATTCCAGCTCCAGATTCACCGAGAATAGCTCGAAAGTGTCCTCACCTGCACTCAGAGGTAAAGTTAGACACGCATCCGATATGTTCGCCATTATAACAAATGAGCTGTAAATTAGCAGTGATACTACAACTATCAGTACTAATTTAGGACTGCAATGTCAAATATAACCCATGTCCTTTCAGTGAAAGGGTGTAATCGTGTCACTACTGTGTGTGTCCTGTGTGTGTGTGTGAGTGTGTGAGAGAGAGAGAGAGAGAGAGAGAGAGAGTGTGTGTGTGTGTGTGTGTGTGTGTGTGTGTGTGTGAGAGAGAGTAGAGTGTGTGAGTGAGTGTGTGAGTGAGTGAGTGTGTGTGTGTGTGTGTGTGTGTGGTGTGTGTGTGTGTATGTGAGAGAGAGAGAGAGAGAGAGAGAGAGAGAGAGTGTGTGTGTGTGTGTGTGTGTGTGTGAGCGCCCTCTACTGTCAGCGGTCGCTATGGTAACGTCAGACGGAGCCGCAGACACTAATGGCAGAAGAACATCAGGCTCGATGAGATCCCGCGGTAACAGACACACACACACACACACACACGCCAGAACTCTCATCTCCGAGGATTATTAGGCGGACACTGGAATACCCGTGATTGAAGATGCCGTGGATTGTGCCTTTTCTCCATTTCTACTCGAACTTTCCATTAACTTGCGCTGTTTCTCTACATCTGTCTGCAGTGCACGGCGAATGCGCGCGCCCGCGGGCGGATAACAGGCGCCGACATGTTTTCACTCCTCAGGAACACAGACCCGAGCCTGAGTGATGCATCATGGTGCTGTCGTGTGTGTGTGTGTGTGTGTGTGTGTTCTGATCAGAGGTCAGTGATTGATGGAGGATCGATGATGATGATGGGCAGATGCTCGTGCACACGCGCACACGCGCACACATCACCTGACAGCTCAGTTTAATGGATTACTGACAACTAGGTCGGATTTTTCTGACAAATGAATGGATTACCGAGTCGCACCTCATTATTGCACATCATTCCTCTTCATCTCTTCCTCTGCTGATCTCAGATTGGACATTTCCTGAGCTCTTTACCACATGTAAGTTCACAGACTGGTGTTAAAGGGGTCATGACAGGAATTTTTAAACATTTATTTAGTAATACATGACCATTTTCTGTCTGTTTCGAGCGGCACTTCAGTGTGAACAGCCAGTGTTCTGATTGGCTGCTGTCTTTGCATGAGAAATGAAGGATCGTGACGTGGAGGTGTTTTCAAACCCTTCATCATAAAGTGCTATGTAGAAATGATGAAATCAAGAAGAAAATAAGAGTATAATAGTATAAAAACAAAAACCCTGGACATTTCTTGTCTGTTTCAGCCTCTGCTACCAATATCAACAACGGGAATAAGCAGTTTGAGCATATATAGAATTTGACTATATTCTAATGCAATAGATAGCATTATGTTAACAGTTTAACTGAATTGCGTCCCAGTTTGCATACTTTGGACTATTGCTGCGTTGTAGTATTTAAATAGTGTGATTAGTGTGTTCACAGTGCACTTCAGATACCCATGATGCACTTAATCAAAGAAAAAAAAGAGGGCCATTTTAGTTTCTATATTCTCAAAAGTGCTGATTGTGATCGAGGTCTATTGGTTTAGATGTTTAAACACACACACACGCTCTCACACACATATATATTAGGGATGCACCAATGATAACCAATGATTCTTCATATTTGAAAACCGATAACCGATATATTGGCCGATAAAACTAAATCCAAATTTTTTAGAGCCTGATTACAAAAACAAAAGTCTCCTTATTGAAAGCCATGTCCCAAACACACAATTATAATGATGTTCTCTTTATAATTTTATGCAGCAATCATTAGGCTGGCAATCAGCAAACCTCCCATGTTTAAACAGCACCTTTGTGACTTTAGGAACTCAAAATGGTGAATTAGGTAAGAAAGAGGGAGCTGTAACGGGAACACAAATGTCTTTGTTCATTTGTAACCCAACAATGGTGAATAATTGCTACTGCTCAAATACAGCCATAAATAAACTGACCTTGATCATCTCTAAAGTACAAATACTACAGTCTGCTGAAGCATTACACACCGAAACAAACACCAATAACACTGAAAGTCAGCACATCCTGACTCAAAGGCCATAAATATTACATCAGCAGATCAGAATGAAACATTAGAGCGAAAGCAGCGGTTTGCTGTCAGTCCAGGATCAGTTTCCATCCAATGACAGGTCATTTGCAAAGCCTTCTTCATGGTTCATGAACAGTCTGTGCTGAACAACACAATCCTGCACTGTGATCAGGTGCTTCGTTATAATAACCCTCAGCTCTTTCTTAATATTGATCCCTCTGATGTGGAGACATGGGTTTCCATTTCCAGGAGCAGAGAAGTAATGCACTGTATTCGTACAGAGAAAATAATGCAGCTTTTATCAATTTCTGTAGAATTTCTTTCCTGGATGAAACTGTTGGAGCGACCTGAAAAACTTAAAGCACTGTTCATTTATTTTGTATTTATTTATTTTGTTCTATTTCATTTATTCATCATATTGTTTGTTATTTGCTTCTGTTGTTTTATTACCGACTATTTACTTCAATAATGGACTTTTTACCTACATTAGTTAGTGTAGTTTTTCTGTGATGTCGAAATTGGTGTGGAAAATCGTGAAATTAAACTGGCATCCAACATTTTGGTATAATTATTCCAGCAAATAAAAAAAAATCATATTAAGTAAAATAAAATAGACAATATAGGATGTTGGTCATATCACCCTCCCCTGTCATAACCCCTTTAACATCACATTGATTTTTAATATTGTTGAATTGCAAGAATTTCACTCATATTTTGTTTCTATTTTTCAACAGCGTATCAGGCTGTGGAGGCCAAAGAAAACACAGTCAATAACAACTGAATGTATGCCATGAAGAAACTCCCTTTGAATGAGAAGGTAAAGTGGGGAGAGGCGTCCCAGATCCAACCAGAAGCGCTATAGCCACACAAACACGGACGAACAGAAACATGCTGTGGACGGTGGTTCTGAGGTCCATAGCGTGGCCTACATTTGTAGCGTCCCTATTTCTAGCAGTGGGACCTGCATTCTCCGGAGTCTTTAATGCCTTAGGTAAAGATATTTTTAGTGAGTTTGGAGAGTTCCAGCTCGACGAGAAAGGCCCAGCGGAGCTACGGAAACTCCAAGCCTCTAATCTCCATCCTAACTTGTACTTTAACCAAGACGATGTACCACTGTTGAGACAAAGGTCAACTACAACTCATAGCCAGATTTTTAAAGTCATCCGGACCGCTGTGATGACGATGCTCTCGACCGGCCCGCTCTACATGCCACCCACAAAGCATGAGGAGTTCACCAGCAAATGGAATGAGATTTATGGAAACAACCTCCCAGCGCTGGCCCTGTACTGTTTACTGTATCCCGAGGACTCTTCTGCCCTGCTCTTCCTGAGGAAGTTCATGGACCGAATGTCGGAATATCCGGACTGGAGAGTAACCAGTGCACCCAATGATGAAGGTCCAATGGCTCATTCGCTCACTGGATTTGCTACTGCTTTTGACTTCATCTACTCGTTCCTGGACCAGCAGCGCAGAGACCTGTACTTGAAGAAGATTTGTGCTGAAACCAGAGAGCTGTACGAAGCATCGAAGTACCGGGGCTGGGGGAAACAGTTCCTTCAGAACCACCAGACCACTAATATTCTGGCTATTTTGACCGGAGCAATAGTCGTGGGCGCACATGACGTCACTGAGTCCATGGTTTGGAAACATGTTTCTGTAAATTACATGGAGAAGACAATGTTTCTGTTAAATCATGTTGTAGACGGCTCTCTTGACGAGGGAGTTGCATACGGGAGCTACACAGCTAAGTCCGTTACGCAGTATGTTTTCCTAGCGCAGCGCCACTTCAACATAGACCACACACAGAACAACTGGCTGCGCACTCACTTCTGGTTTTATTACGCCACGTTGCTTCCCGGGTTCCAGAGAACGGTTGGTATAGGAGACTCCAACTATAACTGGTTCTACGGACCAGAGAGCCAGTTAGTCTTTTTAGACACTTTTGTGATCAAAAACGGGTCGGGGAATTGGCTGGCACAGCAGATTAGGAAGCACAGGCCTAGAGACGGTCCCATGGGTCAGTCCTTAGCCCAGCGCTGGACGACGCTTCACACAGAGTTTATCTGGTATAATGCCGACCTCACGCCACAACCCCCTTACGGTCACAGTAAGGCCAAGATGCACATATTCTCCAACTGGGGCGTGGTGACGTATGGCGCGGGTTTATCTGTGGCTCAGGGCAACACCTTTGTCTCATTTAAATCTGGAAAGCTTGGTGGCCGGGCAGTGTTTGACATCGTCCATGCTAAGCCTTACTCATGGGTGAACGGGTGGAACAGCTTCAACCCGGGTCACGAGCACCCAGACCAAAACTCATTCACTTTCGCCCCTAATGGACAAGTATTTGTTTCCGAGGCTTTATACGGCCCCAAATACAGCTTCCTAAACAACGTGTTAGTGTTCAGCCCTTCCCCGACAAGCCAGTGTAACATCCCTTGGGAAGGTCAGCTTGGCGAATGTGCGAAGTGGCTGCGCTGGACCGACGACGGGGTCGGAGACTCGGCAGGAGAGCTGGTCGCCGCTTCTGCCCACGGAGACACCATGTTCGTGAGCGGCGAAGCGGCCAATGCGTATTCCTCAGCCATGAGGTTAAAGAGTGTGTACCGAGCCCTGGTGCTCCTTAACTCACAGACTCTACTGGTGGTCGACCATGTTGAGAAAAGACACGACTCGCCAGTGAACATGGCCAGTGCGTTCTTTCACAACCTGGATATCGACTTTAAGTATGTGCCCCATAGTTTCTCAGACAGGTACAATGGGGCGCTGATGGACGTCTGGGATGCTCATTACAAGATGTTCTGGTTTGACAGTCAGGGACACAGTCCTGATACTCAAATACAGGAGGCTGAGCAGGAGGCAGAGTTTAAAAAGAGGTGGACACAGTTTATCAATGTCTCCTTTCCTTTCACTGATTCGGTCAGTAGAATGGCGTACGTGATGCACGGGCCTTACGTGAAAGTTTCCGACTGTAGGTTCATTGAAAGCAGTAAGAATGGGCTCAAACTTTCTCTCACCATCAACAATACTGAGAAAATAGTTTCGATAGTAACCAATCACAAAGACATTGGGGCACGTTCAAGCTATCTGGGGTTTGGGGGTTACGCTAAGGTGGAAGACAGACATCAGATAGTCCGGTTTGGCTTGGGGACACAGCTTGTCCCCAAACAGACCAAGTTACACAATCATCTGTTCGACTTTGGAGTCACGGTGAATGTTGCAGCTGGGGTAATACTGTGTGTGGCGATTGTTTTCCTGACCCTACAGCGCAAGTTTTACGCTTGCTTTAGCAGACTGATGCATTACGCTTTGCTTTCTGTCTTAATGCTGTGGATAAGCGAGCTCCTGTTCGTCTCCAACAGCTGCGATCAGCTCCTATGTGGAGTAAAGTGGCACGGATCCGCCACAGACCCGGAGCTCAGCAAACAAATGACATTTTATGACCAGCATCAACTCCCTCTCCCCACTGTAGTGATAACATCGCTGCCTGGCTCCGGGTCCGACATCCTTAAGCACCTTTTCTACAACAACACAGACTTCGTCTACCTACGCATCCCCACAGAACACTTGGATATACCTGAAACAGAGTTTGAGTTTGACTCTTTAGTAGATGCTTGTGAATGGACACGCTCAGAAGCACAGTATGGGCGTTTTAAAATGATTCAGGGCTGGCTACAGTCACTGGTCCACAACACCCACTTATTCCTGCAAAATATTCCACTCCATGACACCAGCCACATGAAGCCGGCCCAAAGAGTCAGTCTATCCCAGGACAAGAGGAAGAGACTGAGGAGACGAGAGTCCAGGGCTGAAATGAAAGGTCGTGTGCGAGTGGACAGGGATGTGGAGTATGTGAGGGAGTTGAGGAGACACACGGTGGACTACCCTAATGCCCGTGTCGTCCTCAACCTGTGCAGCGGCAGCTGGGCTCTAAAGCTGCCCTTTCTCCAAGAAGTCCTCGGCCCATCTTTGAGGGCCATCTACGTCATCAGGGACCCTCGTGCGTGGGTTTATCTGATGCTGTATAATAGCAAACCTAGCCTTTACTCGCTCAAGAACATTCCTCAGCATCTAGCCCTCCTTTTCAAAGAAGATACGGTTAGTGACGGGTGTCCGACCGCATTCGCAGCCGAGTTCAGAACGCTGTGGCTCCTCATATCTCGTTCAGAGACTGATCCTGTGCTGTTGCTGGCCCACCTGTGGCTCGCCCACACGGCCGCCGTCCTCAGAGTCACGTCCACCTTATCCGAAGAGTCCTTTCTTCAGGTCAGGTTTGAGGATGTTGTAGATTATCCTCAGGACACAGCCGAGAAGATACACTCCTTCCTCGGAGTCCCCGTATCTCCCTCGGCCCTGAATCAGCTCATGTTCACCACCTCCACAAACTTGTATAACTTGATGTATGAAGGGGACATATCACCAGCCAACATCAACATATGGAGGCGAAACCTGCCAAGGAGAGACATCAGACTCATAGAGCACACCTGTGGGTTCCTGATGAGGCAGCTCGGGTATCAAATGTTCTCTGACTGATTAGCTGCTGGCCAGCTGTTGTCCTAAATCTCTTGTGTCTGTTTGATATTTGTGTTGTATTTTGCACAAATTTGGGTTGCAAACCAAGTAAAAGTGAAAATGAAAGAAATAGGCACAAGAATTGAATGTCAATCTGTGACAGTCTGCACCATGTCTGATCTAACATATGTCATTTTTTACTACAATGCCTTCAGGATACCGTTCAAAAGTTTTAGATCGATAAGATGTTTTTAAAAGAAGTCTCTTCTGCTCACCAAGACTGCATTTGTACAGTAAAAGAGTTGTATTGTGAAATATTATTGCAAGCTAAGGGTGTACTCACACTAGGCACGGCTGTCTTGTCCCGAGCCCTGGCGCGATTGTCCCCCCATACAACGTTCTGGGCCGGAGCACGCTAACCCATTTACCATGCAACTTTTTGTTTTAAAGTGAACAGGAAGAAAAGCACTTTCGCTAATAGACTGCTTAGTGGATTTATCATTTATGCCGCGCAGCGATGTTGATTATGCGGCACGTATCAGAAGATGACTTTGATGGAGGAATTTGCAGCTTTACTTGCAAACTACAATTCCTGTTCATCAATTAGGAGGGAACCAGACCCGTTATAAACCTAAATATACTTGATTTAACTAAATTAATTGAAAAGTGTACTGTCCAGGTAGGTTGTAATAGAAGATGCTTGCTGTTGTAATGATGACAGTAGCGCACACACCAGTGTTAGCTGTGGTTAGCGATCACACTACATGCGTACCGTACTGGACCAGTGCAGAATCGATCACACTAGTGAACCGAACCAGACTCTGGGGGTCACACGCGTTCGGCACGGTCCAGATCGCCTCGTGTGAGTTCTCCCTAATCTGCTTTCTATGGAAGCTTGATTCCAACACAGAATAAAAAATAAAAAAGGTAATTTTTATCTGTTTTTGCTGTATTTTGGATAAAATAAATGCAGCCTTGGTGAGCAGAAAAGGCTTCATTAAATATTCTTACCAATCTAAAACTTTCAAAAGTGACAGTAAAGACTGAGATATTCACATTAGTATCCTTTAACACTGTGTTTCCTGTTGTATGACACTTGTGAAGTATCATACAACAGGAAAAGATCAACATAAGGATCATCATCACCATCTATATACAGTAAAGATAATGCTTTGCTCCCATAGTCACATCATGCAAGTCCCAATGGTTGAAGAAATTGATTGTTGGGTGAAAAATCAACAGTCCAGATCCACAACAGAGTTTTGCTGTAATCAGATATTGAAGGATCGATGACATTGTTTTCCCAAAACGACAGAATGATTTAGAAATGATTTCTTATTATGGATAAGGTTTTCTGGGCTGAAACAATGTTTTAAAGAATGGCAAATTACAGAATCATTACGAAGCAAGCATTTCATCATTTCACTTAGCATGAAACAAAACACAAAGTGTTCATAGAATGTTTTTGTTGTATTTTTTGCTTGGCAAACCCACTGTAATAATATCTGCACTGTACGCGTGTCCACAAACCCATCATGCAGTCGAGCGCTTCTCCACGCCGGAGGGTTCGATCTCTGTCTCCATCTCTGAGCTCATCATACAATAAAGATGATGTATAACGCTTCACCTGTGGTCAGCAAAGGACAATCATGTAAAACACTTTCCTTGGTCATTTAGAATCACACTGTGTGACAAGCCTTTTAAAATATGTTTTACTTATTATTTTTGTTACTTGTATAATAGTACTTATTACAATAGTGACTAGTATCTATTCAATAGTACTTAACCATTACAAATCAGTACCTAAATATAAATGTACTTATTCAAAATTTCATAAGTGACTTGTATTTAGTTAAACTTTTCTAGTCTAGAAAACGCAAGCACAACTTACTATTCAATGACTCACAACTATTTAGACCAAACATATCCCTATCTCTACAGTAGATAACATGTTGAATATTAATGCAGCGTAGTTATGCAGAATAAGCATTTGAACCCTTACGCTTAGACCCGTTCACACCAATGACGATAACTATAACAATGATAAAGATATAGTTGTATAAATCAGTCTACAGCACAACTATAACGATAACGAACCCTATCACTGAAGTATTTTCCAGAATGACTGATGAACGATAAAACACTGACAGCCAATCAGAATCCATCCTGCTCTACAGAGCTCCAGCATTTAAAGCGACAGACGCCAAAACTGAACCATAGCTTTGATCATATGGTCTGCTTCTGAACGTTAATAACATGTGTGAGCGGTCACACTCACTTCTCTTCATAGCAGATTTACTCGTGTACTGTGTTTCTGAGGCGCTGCTCTCAAACCTTCATCGAGTGAGTAACATCTCATCAGTGTCATCAGACTCTCCCGATCCGCTGGGACTGCAGACAGATTCACTCTCAGAGAACCTGGGGCCTATACCATGAAGCCGGTTTAGGTGGCTAGCCAGCTGTGTTTCAAAATAGTTTGCGCCAACCCTGGGTTTTAGGTACCATGAAAGTGGTTTGGCTTTTAGCAGTGTTCATCGCCATAGTAACTCACACTCCACGGCTAACCTGGTCCGGGGCAGGTTATGTTCCAGGTAAAAGATCTTAAACTGAACTTGGACCAATCAGCTGTGAGCAAAGTGACACATGTCTGATAGGATAAAGTCACTCCACCTGTTTCTACTCCAAATTAAGGTTACTACATGGCAAATGATTTTTGAAGACAAAATTGTCTGGCTTTTACTAATACTTATTTAGAATAAAAATGTATGATTTGGATATTATTTATGTAATTATTATAACCTTAATCGATCACACATGTACAATTTTAGTTAAACAATTTTTAGTATGCACAGTTTAAATTAATAGATATATAAAGGTAATATAAATATGCTTTAGAATCAATAGATAAACTATACATTTACTACATGTGAGCTTAAATGTTCAATTCACTCCTATTGATAATACCTTTATCAATTGTATAAACTAACTTCACAACTTTTACTTGCACTGATATAGCAGACTTTTTAGTTATCCTCTTTCATAGACAGCTATTTTATTTGCTGTGTAAATTTGTTTAAATTCTTACTATTTTTCAATCTTGTAATATTCTTGCAAAAGAGAGATGTGAATCTCACTGCTTCTCTCGCGAGAAATTAATCTCAGTTTCACTCTTTCTCAGCATGTGATTGGCTGTTCGCTACTGATGTCACACCTAAACTCCTAAACTCAGGATCAAAGCCTGAGTTGACAGAGAAAGTTGATGATGAGTGTCATGGTACCAACAAAGCCTGCTTGGATTGGTTTGGTTTTGTCAACTCAAAACTAATCGTGTAACCCTGAGTTTGTTCAACTACCATCATGGCACAGGCCCCTGGAATATAATAGCCTACACACACAACCCGATCTCACGACCAATTCGTCCGAATTTGACGAGTGATTAAAAGATGGCTAATTCGTAACAATTCGTACGACCTCACTGGTACGAATTAGTACGATTTTTGCTAAAACGTACATATTTGACGAGTTGCCCAATTCGTATGAATTCGTACGAATGACCTACCCCTGACCCCGCCCCTAAACCTACCCATCACGTGGGTTTAGACAAATGTACGTAAATTCATATGAATGAGGACGTACGAATTGTTACGAATTAGCCATCTTTTAATCACTCGTCAAACTCGGACGAATTGGTCGTGAGATAGCGTTGACACATACACACACACGCGCGCACGCACAAACACACACACACACGACACACGCACGCACAAACACACACACACACACACACACGACACACGCACGCTCGCACTCACGCACGCAGGCACACACACACACAGACACACGCACAAACACACACACACACACACACACACACGCACGCACGCTCGCACACACACGCACGCTCGCACGCACGCACGCACACACACGCTCGCACGCACGCACGCACACACACGCACGCACGCACACGCACGCACGCACGCACACACAATGAATTTTTTATAGTGCGCTTGTTCTTGTAATTGTCTTTTCAAAACATAAATGTGACGGCATTGGAATTAAATACAATCAAATCAACCTATTAGGCCTAAGTCCTATTACTTATTCACATGTTACTTTTTTATGTTAGATCCAAAATTTGAAATCTGAAAATACAGTTTTTTACAATCACTTTGCTACTATTTTCAGAACCTTGATGTCATTTTTCAAAACTCTAGACACAAAACTCAAAACGGTTATCACTTGTAACACAGGCTGTCTAATGTTCAAAACATTGCATTGTGCATTCACATCTTTAAAGAAATCTTGCACTTGCACAATCATTGGTTCAAAAAACAAATTTACTGTGAAATACCATTGAAACACAACTATAGATCACCCACACACAACCAACCGATTTCACTGTGTCATTGTTCGTACAATCATTAAACATTGTAGAACAAAATAGGTGATCCAGGTTTCATTATGGTCTACATGTACAGTAAATACATCTCTGTAAAAGCACTGCAGTCGTAGAGAGAATATTACAGACACAGTGGAATCACTGAACAAAGTGTGTAATATATTGATGCAAAACACTACAGTGCAATCACAACACAGGTTTATTGGAATCAAAGCAAAAATATTAAATATTAGGCTACATCCATGGATATTGTAGTCTAACTGGTTCATGCGAATTGGTGACAATGAATATCGTTATCTTGAAACTGTCATGATTTACTGTAAACATGGAAGATTGTGTGTCTGTTTCCATACAACTATGCATTAAGAGTAATGCAACAGTTACTTATCATTTTAAGCGGTTGTATCAATTGATAGTTAGATCATTGTAAGGAAATGAACAGACACTCATTTGAAATGTAATGTGTGAATTGCCTTTTGAAATAGTAGCACTGTGATGTTAAGTTGTGTCATATTGAACAGGGGATTTTTGTTGAATGAACAAATGATCTAAGTTTTATGTGTATTGTATCCAAGCAATTGAGAAAAGGGTTAGAGTTTTGAAAAATGTGCATTTTGATCATTGGTTTTGAGTTTTGTGTCTAGAGTTGTGAAAAATGACATCAAGGTTCTGAAAATAGTAACAAAATGATTGTAAAAAACTGTAATAATTTTAACAAAAAAATCAATAACAAATACATTAAAAACTCAAAGATAAGAGGTAAAAAGCCCAGTGTTTTTAATGCAAAAAGAACATTTGTGCTGCACCGGCGATTCCTTCTTTTTGCCTTGTTCTGTCCTGCCCTGGTCGCACCGGATTGTTGGTTGCAGAAGCGCAGAGAACCCTCTTTTTCAACCCAGTGTTTTTAATGTTTGTTAGAGGTTCCTGTTTACAGGAGTAAACCTTCAGGCAAGGAAATATTACATGACAATCAACCCATAAAGGT